TGGGCTTTGTTGCTTCTGAGCTAGATGGCCGCTTGTTTACCTTCAAGCTTTTAAGACCCCAGATGCTATATCTTTTGATAGCCAGGTACCATCAGCTTTCTTCACCTCATTTGCTTTTGCACCCATTTTGTCTTCAGCGATCATGTTGGGAAGGTGAGCATTACAGAATGCCAGGTTATTAGAATAAAATACTTGAGTAGAGGTCCAATGGGCCAGTGAGGGCCATCGTGTCTTGTAGTGGGGCCAGCCCTATGGTCCTCTCTGTGCATTGCCTACTCTGAGGAGGAATATCATTCTCAGGGTTTGGTGGGCCAGGATGTGCTCCATTCTCTCTTCCTCACCCTGTATTTGCTCCCGTGTGCTCTGATCAGACATGTCCTTCTCCCTGAGCTGTAGCTTCAGTGCTGTCCTCTGAAGTAAATTATTCTGTGGGGAGGGGTTAACTGAAAATCTTGACGCATATTTCCATCCATCCATATCGATCTACGGGAGACCTGGTGGTATAATGGTTACACATTGGCCTGCTAACTCCAAGGTCAGCAGTTTGAAACCGCCAGCCGCTTCTCAGGAAAAAAAAAGACGGCTTTCTACTCCTGTAAAGAGTTACAATCTTGGAAACTCAGAGGCAATTCTACTTTGTCCTATAGAGTCACTATGAGTTGGCACCCACTCAATGGCAGTGAGTGATATCTATGTCTATCTTAATGATGTTTAACATAATTCCGTGTGGAATGGGGTATGTCAGGGAAACAATTAAAGGGAGTTTCTGTGCTCATGTAGAATCACGACTTGAGAAAAGTAAGTGGACCGAATACAGGCGCCATGGTCTCAGGGCTACAACTCCAACAGGTGGCCTTGTGACAGATGAGGCCATCAAGTGCAGCAAGATGGTCAATTCCAAATGACCTGTGCTGTACATGGAAATCAAACACGGGACTTCTCAGCAGCCAAACAGGGCGCTCTGGTGGTACTCGACAGGGGACAGAAACAACATCGGCGGTTCTCATCCCCAGTGGCTCTGCTTGAGCTGGTGAGTCACTATGTGTTGGCACAGACTCACCGGCAATGGGTTATTTTAGCTTTAGCATCCAAAACATGTAAAATAGGTCATTGACTTTTTAAGTTTTAATAACTAGTAATATTTTGGCTATGCTGGTTTAAATGGAAACATATTTTCCGAATTCATTTCATTTATTTCTTCTTTTCAAGGTGGCCACGATTGCAGTTGGGGGCATAGTGAGTTGCTAACGGCGAGGTCGGCCATTTGAGCCCACCAGTTTGAAGCTCCCCGCAGGAGCGAGATGCGGCCTTGGCCTGCCCCTGGAAAGAGTTACAGCCTCAGAAACTCTCGTCTGTCCCGGAGGGTGGTGATGAGTTGGAATCAGTGCTGCTGTTTGATGCCATCCAGCTGACCTCTGACTCCTAAACACCCGAGTGCCACGCCCAACTACCCCCTGGGTTTCCCAGCTGTCTTCTTTAGGAGGAGCTCTGGCACCACTCAGATGCTAACCAGCAGAGGAAAGGTCAGAGGGGGGAACCTGGAGCCCCTCTGTGGGATAAAGGACTGGCAACCAGCTTCCTTCCCTGCAAACGGGAAGCAACTTCACGGGGACACGAAACCACACAAGATCGACATCAATCCTCTGCACAGAAGCACCGGGAGCGGCCTGGGGGTTTGAACACTGTACTCCACGGTCTTCAGTGTGGCCGCTGGCAGAGTTTTCGTTATGTCCGTGGCTGCCATTACATCTCTACGGGCCAAGGCTGCCTTAGCTCTTCCCTCCATTCAGACGAAGGTTTTCCTGAGACCCGTTTGCTCCATGTAAAGAATTCTCGACTCTACCTAACGCTTTCTAATCCAGCAGGACAGCAGGTTGGGATGTTTACTTTGGAGAGAGCGCCCTAAGAAAGGGCGTTGCCCACATGCAAGAAGCACACCAGCCTA